AGAAGCCCTTGCCATATGTTATATTAACTAGGCTATACAGGAGCAGGACGATGGATACTCTTGGGGAAGTTATGCTCACAGTAGGTCTCTTTAATCGCTGTCACGTGTGTTCTAGTGATATGTAAGACTTGAATCTTTATTCTCGTATAAAGGAAACTTAGATACAATAAATGGATAGAGGTTGAGACTTCCTTATATCTTCAGAATTCCTGTGTTGTTCACAGCCTAGTGCTAGAACATTCCCTTGTGATATCATTTCTCTCCTTCGAGAAATGACCAGCTCGTTCTCCTTTAGTCCATCGGTCTCTCGCTAATTTCATTATCTCTATTCTATCGAGTTCTAGTTTGGTCCATTATACCCGCACATGCTTCACACACTAAACATTGGAGGACGAAGGCTGAACACCTGTCAGTGGTGTCCTCTACGAACCTGGGAGTGAAATATTCTCCCAGAGCCGAGATTCAGTCACGAAAAAGGGTGGGATGGATTTTTTGATGGATTTTCGACTTGAAGGAGTTGCACTCTATATTTTGGTCGATAAATCAGTCGACAGAGATTTCACAGCCGGAACAAAGTTGAACAAAAACTCATCACCACTAACATACGATTCACGAATGGATTTAGGTCTGTCTGGGGGTCGTATTCAAACATCCGACATCTCTTAAACTCCTTTTATACTTGCAACGAAGCATTTCTCAATCGATCCTATACCTGCGACCTACCTCCATACCCGTCCGATCACCTACCTACACACACCCTAATGAGGAAAGTCATGATGGAAACGGGACGTGTACAAAGGAGGAAGAGGGAAGATACACCGGGGGGATTACACAAATCCCCAATGACGAAAACAATCCAACGGTACGATATGAAGGTACAAGGCTAGAGCAACGATGAGATCTTGGACGGCATTTACATCTCGGAGTCAATGAGGATATCAAGGGCTCGGGCGCGTGGTAGCCGAGGCTAAGGAGGAAATTGCGCTACGGCGTGTATACAGCGGGTTTCTGGACGGTTAGGCTTGGTATGATTCAACACATAGGTGAAGTCTGAGGTGGTCCAGTAACTTAGATGGGACGAGGCTTATCTGTACTTCACGGTAGTTAACCTGATCCGGCCCAACCCCACACGTGCTTAAGCTCCAATAGGAGTGCAACGGTAGTCATGTAACCTAGCACGTTAATGAACAAAAACAAAAGAAACACACTAAACACCTCACGGTTTAGTTCCACAGTCACGTGAATCTTCTGTGACGTGACCTAAAGTATGTACCATGGTAAGTTACATGGATTACACAACACTATATCACAACATGTGTTACCCACTGGCGGGCGAACAAAAGGGTCACGAAAGTAAAGTAAAAGACCCTTCCGCCCTCAAGAAAAGCAGATATCGACTCGTCAATAATATAGTCCCTTATAACCTTTAATTCCGAATCTACTAGCCAGGAGAGCTTCTAAAATACATGAGTTACTCGACAACCCCACGTCCATAACGACCTTTGGATGTTAGGCTATGCTCTTTCGCAACAGTCACTCTCGACCAAGACTTTTCTGACATCCTTTCACGACCTTCGATTTGACCTGCGGCATGAATCAGGGGAGAAGTAAGAAGGAGGCTTGGAAGGTTGAGAGACGCTCTTAGGTATACACAGGTCTACTGCGCCCGGCCTCTTCGTTATAGGAGAGCCCCGCACCTAGTGGTTTTTGAGACTTTCCCTGCAGCTATACACCCGCAAATAGCCATCGTTTAGTTGGCTGGAGAGGTGAGATAATGACGGGATAACGGCTCCTCTTAGTGTGTACTCGAATGAAGACCTGTGGGGGTATTACTGCTGGAAAGAAGTCGTGAAGGAGGCATAGGAGGGAGTACACTAACCGAGGCATAGATACCCCTGGCCTGTAGGTAGAAAGGACCTACATGTCCTTACATTGTTATAGACTTAATAGGACAATAAACAAATACACACACAAACGTCTTTGTGTACATTGTTACAGTCTAAGCATAGGCACTTAGGAAACCTTAAGGTCAGGGGTAGTCTATTTTCAACCTATAGTGAGCTACAGTTTCAAAGGGATAGTTACAGCTGTTAAAGATTTAATCTGTCCATAACTCTGAGCTTGATGATGGCCAGCAAGACGAAGAATATCATGACCTGTCATTTAAGATAAAAGGGCGAGTATGGCATTAATTAGAAGATAGGACCGATATAGTAAGGGGTGATTAGCCCAGAGTAGGTATGGGCAATGTGAATGTAGTCGGAAGCATCATCATCTTAAAGAGGAGTCAAGTGCGCGATATATATATACACGTGTCATATCCCTGTCACTAATTACTAGACCCCGCACTGCCATAAACACCATCAATCTCTGCTATCCATCGCAATCCCGAGTATCAATATGAGTTACTATTATACAGTATGTTTGTACGGATCGATATCAATATAGAAATGTTAACAACAGCTGCTTTATATCCATTTTTTATCCCTGCCATTGACAAAATTCACTATCCGTACTCCGTTCTCGAATCCCACCCCCGCACCTCATACTCTGAGGTTTTACTCTGTTCATATTGCCACTTATAAGCGCCTGACCCTAAGAATAGGCTTCACTAGGGTTTGCGCTAAGCCTTCGTAATAGAGCGCAGGATACAGGCCAACACCAGCTTACTAGCCGTCATGTAAATCATTTCTTGGCGTGGAATTACTCCTACGAGAAATATAATGTAATAAATTCTAGTAAAATGATGACTACAGACAGGTAGTAGTAACTCCTGATTACGGGGGATAAGGACTGAATACCAATGCGTGGTATCCTCTACAAACCTGGGAATGAAACATCCTCCCAGAGCCAAGCTTAGTCAAATTTCGCAAAACCGACCAAATTGGCTCACGAGGCAATGATTCACTACTCCCAACAAAATTAATATCTCATTCCAAAAAAGGTCGACTCCGGCAAAAGCCTCATCTATTCTGCAAGTACGACCTAGTACATCCTAGCTTCAGTGAGCATTCCTCTCGTTAAATCAGTCTTTGGCCTTAAGTAGCCTCCACATACACGCCCACAAGAATATGAATACCCACCAGAGCACACAAATTGTGGTACATAGACCTAGGAGACAGGTTTTTCCAGGGTGCGCATGAAAGAGACGCGGAAAAATGGACAGGATGATGCTAACATTGGATACAATCTCAAAAGAAGCGAGTCATTTTTTTGGTAAGCAGCTTTATAACTTTAGCTTTGTGCGCCCAGATTTCGATTGAGAAAGTGAAGGCGCCACTGTAAACACAGCTATGGATGAATGGTACGGTGTAACATCATATGGGCCAGTTCCCTAAGTAGATTCTGGACAACTTGGTTCAGTATCTAAGTTGAGTCAGGAGAATGCTGGTTCGAATCCGGCAAAATGCAATCACTTTTGTCGTAGCGCTAATATGCTTGGATAATCAAAAGTTTTGAAAATCCCCTTTGGAGGGTACTCTCAAAGGTGAGGGTTTGACAGTGTTCCACGGGGTGCGTTGTATAGCCTAGTGAAGATCTAGGTGGTAAGTGAAGATAATAAATGGGTCAAGGGATGACAGGTCTTTTGTAGGAAGAGATGACTGGGCAACTTGTAGCAGTAGATGTTACACGTGGGTCTTGCTGATGAAGAGCTGGGCAATGGATAAATGGTCTTCCCGAAGAAGAGATGGGTAATCAAATGTATTGTAAATGGTAGATAAAGAAGACGTTACGTGAGGAGTAAATCTCTCTCACGCTGAACTATTATATACAAGAATAGAGGCATTTGCCACCCGTAATTAATCGTAATCAATTCTTGCCAATATATTCGCATTGATGGCTGTGTTCTTGTCCTTCTCTTCATGACTCTCTTGTATATCCTTATATGACGTTTTACATGACTAATTGTATAGGGGAAGCTATTACTAAATTGATGGTTTTAATTAACTACCCCTTCATCTTATCACGAATTAATATTAGTATTAAAATTCTATTTACGGATCCGTGAAAGGTACTCACGGAGTAGAGATGAGTATTTGTGTGAGCAAGCATACCTCATAGTGATATTTTCGAATAAAATCCAGAGTATGAATGTCCCTAATGGCAAATGAGTAATCCTACATGTACAGATAGCACTGACCAATTGTCATAGCTAGATAGCTGATTACACTAAGTGATGTAGAAAATTTAAAAATCTTCAGATTTCCGTTCTCCATGCGTCATATCATTTGTAGATTATTTACTTGGACTTTCTTTATAATCACAAGGTCCTAGGCAGGCGACTTGATTTCCTATGACATCGTTCTCGGGTAAAGATTTGACCCTCTGATTATGAAAAATTCGAGCTTCAGATTCAGAGAGCAGTGTAAGAGATGAAAGAAATAGATTACAATGAATTAGGAAAGATGAATGAGTGAAAATTATCGTACTTGAATTGTTCGTACTATATCACATGATACCGCTGTAAGCCACTAACTATACCAGTGCCCGCAACCTACCTCAAGCCCGCCGATAGCGTGCATTTCAACTAACTAGACTAAAAATAAGGTACGACTGCTATGCTTGCTGCGTCTAGCTGCTACCTCATCTACGAAGGCATAAGACAAAATTAACCTAGGCAAAAGATAGCTTTCTTTATCTAGCCAACTTGCTGGCATAAAGATTCTGGTGGTTGTATACCATAGTTATCTATCAGAAGCTCACCTTATAGGACATTCTACGCATAGTCATCTTTTTGACTCCACGACGATGAGCTTCCGGAGATATCGTTGTATTGATTATATCGGTGAACATGCTTTAATTGCCGACAATTTTCGTAACAATGGTGGACTGATAGAGCGAATAATATTGACCAATGATTTTATTTTTAGTTCATTTAGGAAATAATCGGGAATTTAAACGGTGTTGATCTAAATTAAAGACCATGCCTTCTAAGATAGAAAAATTATCTGCTATTCAGATAATTATCTCTGCAATATATTCTTGCTACAAGATTTCTCTTAGCGTCCTAATTTATCACTGTTGCTCTTACTACCTCTAGCTCTACCGATAGATTGAGAGCCCCTCATTGTTGGTGGTAAGATTTCTTGAGGCGAGAGAGGGGCTGGAGGATACCATTCGGTGTACCTAGGATTTACTGGTTCAGTTGGGTGATAAGGTCGAGAATAAGGCGGTGGTTGGAAACGCGGTCCTCTTGGTGGGCCATGATCGCGTTGATACACATCACTTTGCATAATGGCAACATCACGATCCCTTACTAGCCCAGATCGATATGAATCGTTTGATACTGGTACAAAGCGAATATTTCCACGTTCTAAGCCCCGTTCAAGAACTTTGATCTTTGGACGAATAAAGCTTCTGCCATTATCGCTATCGTCATCTGAGATGTAAGGATTTGAAGCCTTACCCTTGATATTGAATCCCCTTTTTGCAGGGGGAGAGGGGTCAATATCGAAAGATAATGCACGCTTTTGACTGTTGCTATCAACATATGTGTTCAGGTTCGCAAGTGACCATGTCACTGCCCCCGATAAGGTCAAATGGCGGTTTAGCCCACATTCTGAGCCGTAATGACCAGATGCCCCACAGCAATAACAGCTTGCCTTTATCGACTGAACTTTGAAGATATCTTTAGGTCTAGGCTGAAAAGTACGCCAAATATAATGGCAGTCTGTCTCGATATGACCAGTACCCCCACATAAATCGCAAACTATCTCGAATGCTGGCAAAGATAGTTTCTCTGGACATTCCGAAACTTTGTGCCCTCGCTCTCGACACCTTTCACAACGCCTAGTTTCCGGGCAGCAGCTCAGGGCGTGACCTTGCCCACATTTGGAGCAAGAGCGGGATGGACAACTAGACCACTGATGATCTGTCTTGGCACAACTGAGGCAGGGTCTCTGAGTAAAGCCTTGACAACTAGGAAAGTACCTTGATAGGGTTTCGTCATCGAAAACTTCAGTTTCAGAATTTAGAGCGCGTAATTCACTTTTTTCTGAAACTTTAGCCACCTTTTTTGAGTTGTCACAATTTGATACCTGATCAGCTGGTGCAATCGGCTCAGAATCTATTCCAGAAGAATCAAAGTTCCTTTTTAACGGATTAGGTGTAGTCGTAGCTTGGTTATGATGAACGAGAGACTTTTTGATCTGAGCTTTCGCCTCTTCTACAATCGTTTCTCCTCCATACACGGTGTGAAACATTTTCTTGTGTACCCAGTGGATGTGAGAATAAAATGTGGTTACACACAAACGAAAAGCGGAAGCAACTTCCTTGGCTGTTAGTTTCTCCATCTTATCTTGATTCTCCATCAAAAATATAGGTATGAACATTCGATAGGAGAAATCGGACGCTTTGCAAGGCATTCCTTCTCGACTAATATCTTGGGGGCATCGATATTTAGAAGATGTCTCAGCAGGCCATTTCGGCTCCTTCGCGTAGAAGGTTTCACCCCTCATGATCTTCTTAGTGGTGAGACTATTTTCGGGGGGTAATGGCCATTTTCCCACTTTAGAGAGGATCGCGTCGACTTCAGCCGTAGCTCTTATTAATTTCTGGTTTGCTATTTCTGGTTCCTTAATCTTGGGGACTTTAATCCGTTTCTGTTTCAATTCTCGGTAAGAAACTTGTAAGGAAGCCAGACGCCCAGATCGTCGTACATTAGGGTCTGGCACTTTATTCTTCAAGTCTTTCTTAATATCTTTGCTAGTTTTCGAGGCAGAATCGGTTAACGTAGATGTAGATTTATGAGCATGCTGTGTACTTTCTAGATCACGTTCCAGTGTGCTCTTATTTTTATCAGGGAGCCCAATTATTCCCCCAGATTTGAAGTCAACTGCTGGGCCGAGGCCAGTTGTAGAGCTCGGGCTGGCTTGATAATTTTGAGGTTTTTTCGGGAGACTACTATTTGCCGCAGAGGATAGTCGCGTTATTCTGGAAGACGGTGTTGATGAGCTTGTGGGTGCGCTTTCTTCTAGCGCTTCCCTATTATTCATATTAGATACATGAGTAGTTGTCTTTGTTTGTTTGATCGATGCCAGATGGTTGCCAGTCGAACCAACATCTTCTGTGACAGGGTTCATTCTTAAAAAAGATTTCGCGATGGCTGTTATCTACAATGGTCGCGAACCTTTGTGTTTCTGTATCCGAGATTCAGTGTAAATCAGCAATCAGTAACATTTTTTCTTCGTTGAATAAATAAATTGTTAGGTGTTGTAGCTGCGTAAGGTAAGATGACAACATTGGTTAGTATTAATTCAATTTCCTCTAGTAGTCCAATAAGGATATGAATTGACCAGTAAAATTCCTCGGGTGAAGATGAGAGTGTGCGTAGATCAGTTCTATTTTCACCCCTCTCACGCTAGCCTGTATCATCACGTACCTATGAAATCCAGGACGTTGCATCATCAGTGCCATAACGAAGCTCTAAGACTACCACACAGAATTGCCAGAGAGGTGAGCACTAGAGCTTTGTATCGCAAAATCTCCCGAGCGAACTGAAGAAATGGTTCGTTCAGATTTCCATTCCGAGTCCATTATCTTTTCCGCTGGCTCAATATTTGCAAAAATATACTGACTTTCTCAAGTTATTTATTTGGCTTGATCTATCGTCTTAGACAGCTCTGTCCTAGTTGAGCGCAAACATACGGTCTACATCCGCTCAAGCTAGTTGTACAAGAGCCGCCAAAGTGCCTTCTTCACCTCGATTTTTTAGCAAGGCTTGTGCTGCTTACATTCTTCGACTTTTCGCACAATTTCTGGTCGAAGTTATGAATGATTTCAAGATTGGAAGGCGGAGACGTTCTAGTAGCCTTTTGTACCATGAACCACCAGAGACGATAGAGCATATGAGCGACCAGGCGGCCCTTCCAAATCTCAACGCGAATTGGGTTAATGCTAAAGGTCAGTTATAAGATTTCTTGTTTTTGCCCAAGTAATAAGGGCTGCCTGTTAATCAAATAACTCATCCTCAACTATTTTTACGAACGCACCACCATCCGGCATAGTAAAGTTAATACTTGCTTATACAATTAAACATAGGTGCATGGACAATACATCTAGTTCTAATAATATGTCTCAAAATACTTTTCGATATCATACCTGGTGTTTCTCAAGAAACCTCATGGACACTGACAAATATATCTTACATGTTTGGCTCATTTCTCATGTTCCATTGGGTTCGAGGCGTTCCATTTGAATTTAACGCAGGAGCATATGATAACTTGAACATGTGGGAGCAAATTGATAATGGAGCACAATATACTCCCGCGAAAAAGTTCTTACTTAGTGTACCTATACTACTGTTTTTACTAAGTACACATTATACACATTACGATTTGACTTATTTTACTATCAACTTTTTGGCAGTGCTAGGGGTGGTAATACCTAAACTTCCATATGTTAGTATTATCAATTTCCGTTGTAAAGAGATAAAATCTAACAAGCGCAGAGCCATCGAACGCGAGTTGGTTTCTTTTCTGGTGGTCCAGAAAATAGATAGTAAGATTAAATAACTGCTTATACTACTTAATAGTGAGTCAAACGATGAGGATTCCAGAGAGTTATATAATTTATCTGACGGAGGTTTATATCAAGAGATATACCTAAATATGAGCGATAAAACGAAACTTAGCATGAGCATCAGAATTTTTCTAGGGAATAAAGCATAATCTTCATATGTGTAGGGGAAATTCCAGCGTCTGCTATGGAATTTAGTATGTCTTTAATTGCATGCGCGCACAATGTTGAAGAGTTATTTGGTAGTTAGCCACAGGACAAGCTGTAATGCATGAAATATATTCTTCGAAACCCGCCTGCTTACAGAGTAAGAATAATCTGTTATCGGATCTACTCCTTGCAGGAGTGTCGGTGCAACTAGAATTGTTACAGCTCAGGCTTATGCGGCTTACTAGTTTTTTTCTAGAGGGCTAGCGAGTTATCTAAAGGAATCCCAGACTAGTCACTGATCTGGAAATACAGTTTCAAGTGGACGATGAAATTCTACCAGGAATAGCGACGCCTCTGAGGCACAGCGTCCTAAAGCTCTTCAAGCAGCGAAATGCCTTTTACAGTAAGATATACCGCCCAAATTAATACCCAATGTATTAAGACACTCAAAGCGAACAAACGTGAATTCCTAAGCCCTGGTCAACATACGGAAATAGGTTTGAAATGACTGAGCTCGCAATTTCACCCAAGCGATCAAAAGAATACTCGAATCGGACAGAAGCGACTAGACCGTCAATTTTGCGATATCTTCAAATTTACAAAGACGATCGCATAAAAATTAGGATTAATAGAGGCTATTAGACAGAATACGAGTCGACGTAAATTATATTTCATAGTCGGACAAGACTTTACTCTAAAAAGTAGTCTTGTTTTAAATTATGCATGAACAGAACGAGTAGGCCCCCTCTACGTATAGGCCAAAGAAATAGTCGCCTCCTTCACTATTTCCCATTCCATGCCTCCTATAAGACTCTCCTCTATCCATACGGACACTTGCAAGACTTACTAAACATACAATTATATAAACTATTATCTTGTCATTATCTCTCTTAAAGCAACCAAAAGAAGATCACTGAGAGTCTGTAGCTTCTCTGAAAAGTCTTCAAATAAATTAGGTACGCTGCTCTCCCATTACCAAAATCAGAACTGAAACCGAAGACATGGCTACCCTTATGAGGGATTCGAAGAGTTCGATGAGCCGACAGAAAAATACCTGGACTTACCTATGAGCTTCTCTAAATTTTGTAGCCTTCCCCTTACCACTTTTCCATCTTCATTCGCAGTTTTTGATCTCTTCATAGCATATTCATACTGAGTAACCCAAGTTTGGTATCCTCTGATAATTCACCGTTGACAACGTTATTGGAAGAAAGGGACACGGTTCGTTTTGTGACTTGTTTCGTCATTTAATGAGGACTTCAAAATATGATTGATGAACCGTGGAGGAGTGCAATATTCGGCTTTAATAGTCTTGATAATTTTATTCGTGATTTATTTAGTCGAGGAATCTCTGCAACTCGGGGTTTTGGGACCAAATCAGCCCAGCGCCGCTCCTTAAAAGAATCTCAGTCAGGAAAATATTGATTCGACTGTTGAGGGATGGCTGAATCTTGGCTCTGGGAGAATATATCACCCACAGGTTCGTAGAGGACACCACTGACAGACGTTCAGCCATTGTCCTCTTCTAATTCAAGAGTGAATGTGCGCGCTCGTATTCTAATTGTATTTCATCACGCGAAGTAACCTGCTTCTTAGGTAGAGCTGGATAAATCACAGTCTGGCACGGTAGTCTATCTGTGCCCTGTCTCTCGTAACACCTGGTTACCCTTGATTATTATTGAATTGAATAGAATTAGTCTCGTTTAACGTCCTACGCGGTATCTATATACAGAACCATGAAGACGGTAAGCCATGTTAAGAAGGGAAAAAGCTTTCAAGCAACAAAACCCGATGTCCCGCCCCTCTGAACAAACCCAGCTTAATGCTGAGGAAGTTCCTTTCAACCATAATTTTTTAAACTTTCCCCAGAATTCGTTAATTACCCCCACAGTCAGACTAACGTTAAGAAAAATTAAAAAGAGAAGGCACCACTTCACTCGGCGTTGGTCGTCAAAGTATCCGAAGAGTTGGCCACGATGGCTGGTGCCGCTCGGGCTTCGACTATCTTACGCGGTCGTCCTGGCCCTCTTTTGAGTCCATCAGCCTTTTTACTGGTGACCAAAGTAAATCCCTGATCATCAGTTGGTCTGACTGTTTGTGTTGGCGCCATTGTTGGTTTTTCATTCCAAATATCTGCCGTTCTCGATAATAGCTCCATCCGAGCCTTCTCCACACTTCCCTTTTAGACCTGGTAGGTCCGACACGCTGCTTTCTGCCACGAATGGTGCTCCTTGCCGCAGTTCGCACACGAAACCCTTTTCCTCAGACAGTCCCGAGTTTGATGAGCGCCTGCGCACTCACCGCACCTGGCTGCCTTTCCACACGATGCCTGCGTGTGTCCCCACTGGCTGCAGTTATAACACTGCTTTAGCTGGGCTCGTGGTGACCACACCTGCGCTGTGAATAGCATGGCATTAATGACAAGGCCCTTTCGAACTACCTCCCTTTGCATTGCCTCCGATGGGAGGCTGACCACAATTGACCCTCGATTGCGACCTTTCTTCTTCGATCGCTGGTGCTCCTTTCCATCATGTAGCCACTTAATTCTATTAATCATAAGGCCGGGAATTCGAGCCTTAGTTGCTATCTCAATCTACCTGATGATAGCGTGGTTTTGGGCATCTCTGCCACCCTCAATTCGAGTCCGCAAAGGGACACCTGAAACCTCGACGGGAAAATCTTGCCGTGAAATCTTAAACTCCGCAGGTTGACGCATGTTGAGCGCCGCGTCTCTCCGGGACGCCGACTGGACGAACACCTCAGTGTCGTTGCATCGCATCTGGCGAATCGCGTAGGCGCCTTGGATATGTTGTGCCTTTGTTAGCAGCTCTTGTAGCTGCAAGTTTTGTGCGCCGTCGATTCTTATTCTGACCGCCGTTTTCGCCATTTGCGGAGCTACGACTGACTCGTAGGTCCTTTGTAGCGGCTTCCCAGACGACACTACAGGAGCTGCCTGTCGCGCGGCGTCCGCGATACTTTTATTTATCACCTCCTCCAGTGCTATCATCCTCTCCTCGATCGGAGATGGGATCTGGAACATCGTTGTCCAAGCCTTCTTGTGATAATTGAATGCCTTCACGGCTTCATCTACGTCTTCCATTGTTGGTAGGTCCTCCTCATCCATCTCTCCCATCACAATTAGTCTGACCTTTTTTAATAGCTTCCCTATTATTTCCAAGTTAGGATCCTTTGGAGCTTTCTGCGCTCCGCTGCCGTTGTTTGATGACGCCGTTGTCGCATTTTGCGACGCGTCGAAACCGCTGTATTTACCCACGCCAGCACCCACACTCGCCATATTGTACCACGGAAAGCGAAAAGATGAGAGGAGGGTAATGAAAATGTAAAAATAATAATCACGATGTCAAATTGATGATAAGGGCAGCGTGGAACGCTGCGCAGCTTTCTGGCAAAAATGATGTTTTTTCCCTTGATTATTATTAATATTATTAATATTAATATTATTATTAATAATAATAATAATATTATTATTATTATTATTGAATTTGAATTTGATTTCATTGTCCTGATTTGGCGCCTTAAGGCCCATGCAGGTGACTATAAACCTAAAACTATATATTTACATGAGGGGGAAACCATTACGATAAAAACCCCCTCCCCCTTTAATATTTTTATATCTGTAGTCCTTCGTTACCTACAGTAAGTGCAAATGGCCATTAGTCCGAAATAGAACTAGCTAAAGTATACCTCACCATCTTTTCCCTGCCCTCGCGTGCCGAAAAGTGATGGCTGTGGTCTTGATTTCGACCCCGATGGCGCAAATAGATGTTGTGTTGGGGCTGGGTCCTGAACTTGTTTTCGCGGGCGTCCCGGCCCTCTCTTGAAGCCTTCTGGCTTTTGGTTGGTCACTAGCGTGAACCCATGGTCGTCTGGTATGTTAGCAGTATTTGATTGAGGTAACTCCGTTGGTACTTCGCTCTCCCTTCTTAATTCGGCCGTTCTCTCCATGAGTCCATACCGTGCCCGCTGAACGTTGGCCTTGTATGCCGCGAAGCTTGGACACGCCCCCTTCTGCCACGATAAGTGGGCCTTGCCGCAGTTGCAGCAAAGTACCGACTTCTTCGGACAGTCCCTGGTCTGATGGGTGCCCGCGCACCCTCCACATTTCCTTGCCTTGTTGCAGGAAGCTTGGGTGTGCCCCCATTGGCTGCAGTTGAAGCACTGCTTGACTTGTGCCCGGGGTGACCAGAGCTGGGCCGTGTATAGCATTGAGTCCATTACAATGCCATTTCGGATCACTTCGCGTTGTAGAGCCTCGGTCGGTAAGCTCGCAATGACTGACCCTCGAGTATGGCCATTTTCCTTCGCCCAGGTGTGTTCCTTCCCGTCATAGAGCCATCTCACCCTATTGATTTGTATCCCTGGAATCCGTGCTTTTGTCTCCGTTGTCATTTTAAATATTGCCACGCTGTTGTTGGCATTCTTTCCTCCGTGTATAATTGTCCCCAGTGGGACTCCTAAGATTTCAACAGGGTAATCCTGCTTTAGGACGCAGAACTCTTTGGGCTGCGCCATCCTCAAGGCAGCGTCTCTCTGCGAGACCGACTGCACGAACACCTCAGTATCATTGCTCCTTAATTGCCTTACGGCGTATGCCCCATTTATATGTAGTTTTGCTTTATTAAGCAGCTCTGTCGGCTGCATCTTATTGGCCCCTTCTACTCGAATCCGTACTGCCGCTTTGGTTGCTGGCGGCGCGACGATCGAGGCGTACGTGGGTCGTCCTCCCATTAATGGCGCTGGTTGTGGTGCAGTCTTGCAGACCGGCTTTTCGAGACTCTCCTTTACGACCTTCTCTAAGGCCAACATTCGATC